GTGGGCGGGGCCGCCAGCCCTGGATGGGGGGGGGCGAGAGGGCGGGCAGGCGAGCCGACGGCCTGGGAGACCGCGGGCCAGGCGCGCGGAGGCAGGCGGTGCCGAGGGCCCGGCTGGCCGCCGCCGGCCCCGCTGAAATGGGGGAGGGGCGAAGAGCGCCAGCGCGGCGCATTGGGCAGCCACGCCCCAGGCGGGCCATGGAGCGCCCGCGCGAGAAAGGGCAAGGGGGGGCAGCGTAGGAAAGCTCATAACAGGTCAACGAGGGGCAGGCGCGGCCGACGCTCAGCGGTGACCGCGGCCATGCGTGCGTGCGTTGGTGGCGTCGAGTCGGCGTCGGCGTCAGCGTCGGCGCAGGAGGCGCCGTCGGAGTCGGCGTCGGCGTTGGCCAAAAAGCGCTGACTCCAGCGTTGTAGCTGATGACGTCGGGCCCCAGCGTAGTCTCTCGAATCTCGCTGAGCAGCGCCAGAGCCCGCTGCCCCGATCGCCAGGCCGCGCGCGCTGGCCCCAGCGCTGCGCTGCCGACGTCGGGCTTCAGCTTCGCCCCCCGCGACGCGCTGACTGGCGCCGGGGCCCGCTACTGCTCGCCGTCCTCGTGCGCTCTGATCACAGAGTTGTAGTGGATGACGCCGGGCGCCAGCTTCACCTCCCGCATCGCCCTGACGCGCAGAGCGGCGACAACGCCCGCCGCCAGGCCCCGAAGGGGCCCGAGGGCGCACGTCGCTTGCATGTCGTCGCCGCCGCGGGCGCCATGATGACGACGCGCACGCGACGTGCGTGCCGCATCCCGCTGGGGGGCGCCAGAGCCCGCCGCCCCAGCTTGCTCTTCTCGCGCGCGTTGAAGTCAGTGCTGCAGCCGATGGCGTTTGGCTCCATCTTGGCCTACCGCGTCCCGTGACGTCAGGGCCGGATGCCACTGATCGCTCTTCCTGCGCGGGCTGATCCTAGCGGAGTCGCTGATGCCATCGGAATCCAGCTGGGCCTCCCGCGTCTCGCTGAGCAGCGCCGTCGCCCGGTGCCACTGGTCATTTTCCGCCAGTGCTTAGGATAACATGTCTGCCAGCGCTTGAGAGAACAATTCCGCTGGTGCTCAGGAGAACGTGGCGTGGGGCTCCAGCTGCGCCTCGCGCGCCTCGCTGAGCGGCACCAGAGCCCGTTGCCACTGCTCGTTCTTCACGCAATCGCTGTCCAAGTGCTGTAGCTGATGGCGTTGAGCGCCAGCTTCGCCTCTCACGTCGCGATGAGCAGCGCGAGGGCCCGTTGCCGCTGCTGGCCCTGGCGCGCGCGCTGATCCCGGAATTGCAGCGGGCGGCGTTGGGCGAATGTAGCGCCGCAAGACTGCAAGTAGTACTCTGCAACTCTACTGTGCCATGACATCAGCTTAGCGCGCAGGAGCGGTCCCCTCCGACCCTCGTAGAGGGAAGTGTCCTCGGAATGGAGCAGCGCCCCGATGATGGCAGCCATGGCCTGGCACAAATTGGCAGTCTCCGCCGCCGACTTCTCATGCTTCTCCCCAGCGCCGCTGGCCGCCAACACCTGGAAGCCGACGTCGCCTGCGGCGGCAGCGGTGTCGGCAGGTTGGGCCTGAAACGACTCGCCGAGCGTGTCGTGCGCCACGATTTGTGCCCAATCCGCCACGGAACCCTGGGGGATGGTCCCGAGCTCATCCAGGATGTCCGTTACCTGGGAGATCGCCCCCAGCTCCTTCGGGATGTCCACGAGCGTCGGGTCCGCGGAGGGCGGCGAATAGCCGAGCGGCGTGCCAGTGGTTTCGGGCGTGGTGTAGCCGATCGTCACCAACGTGCCCACCCCGTGCATGATCTCTGTCTGGCGTCTCCTGGCGAGATTTTCCGTGCTACCAGCCGCCGTGAACCCAGCAGGGTCCCAGAGGCCCGCGGGGTTCTGCATGCCCAGGGCACCGCGCAGGGGGGGCCCTGCGCAGGGCATCTGGTCGCCCCTGAGGGTCGGCGGGCGCCGTGGCGACGCCGACCGCCGCGGCGGCAGCGGCGGCAGCCGACAGCGCCGCGGCGCGCGCCACGGCAGTGGCGGTCGCCGTGGGGCAGCCACAGCTGGCCGCGGCGACAGCCTCGGCAGCAGCGGAGGCCGCGGCCGCCGCGGCGGCGCCGGCGGCGGCAGCGGCAGCGCTGGGCGGGCGACGCCCGCGGCGGTGGCGCGCAGCGGCGGGCCGCCAGCGGCGCCGGCGGCCGAGGGCAGCGCCAGCCCCGGCGGCGGAAGCCGCCGCGGCGCCAGGAGCGCCAGCGGCAGCCGTCCCCGCGGCGCAGGCGGCCGCGCAGCAGCGCTGCCGCCGCCGCCGCCGCGCCGCGGCGGCCTCCATCGGCCGCGTCGCTAGGAGCTGGGAGGGGGAGGCCCGCGGGGCCCTGGTGACCCCTCCCGGCTCCGCACGGACCCCCCGGCTGAGGGGGCCGCGCGCCCCTGCGCGGCAAGCCGGCTGGGCACCCTCGAGCCAGAGTGGCTTGAGCCAGACTTGAGCCAGAGGCTACGGCCAAACACGAACACAAACACAAACACAAGCACACGCACACATACACATACACATACACATACAAGTACGCATACACATATACAACACACAACACACAACACACAAACACAAACACAAACAGAAACGCACACACACACAAGACGTCTGATCTCTGGGGAGAGGGGGGAGGGGGAGATAGGGAGGATGCGGAGGCAAATGGAATAAAGAGAGGAAGGGAGGAGGGAGAGGAGGGGGGGGGAGGGAGTGGAGGGGGAAGCTGTGGAGGATGCTGCGGGGGAGGGGGGGGGAAGCTTCAGGCGCCCCAGGACAAGAGTGCAGCACCCTGGTCGGAGGCGCGACTGGGCAGCCTCGAGCCAAAATGTTGCTCAAGGGAGGAGCGCAGACGAAGACGAGGAGGTTGGCGAGAGGAAAGAGGATGGAGAAGGTAGAGGGAGGGAGCGAGGGAGCAGGGAGGAGGAAAGATTGAGGGAGGACGCGAGGAGGTAGCAAGGGTGAGGGAGCGAGGGAGGGAGGGCGGAGGGAGCAGGCAGGAATCCAGGAAGGGCCAGGGGGGGAAGAGGGAGGGAGAACGGAGGGAGCCAAGGAGGAGACAAGGAAGGGGAGGAGAGGCATCAGGCTGGAGGAGGGGAAGGCGAGGCCCCACACGCTCAGCCCAGGCACCCCACGCGCGCCGCCCAGCCGTTGGCCCCCACGGCGCGCCGCAGCTCCGCCCGAGCGCGGAAAACAGTGCGGCCTCGGGCGGCGCGGGCCGGCGCCGGCAGCCGGCAGCCGGGAGCCGGCCGTGGCGGCAGCCTGGCCAGGCGCTGGGCGCTGAGCTCGGGGCTGGGCGAGCGCGCTGGGCGCCAGGCGGCGGCGCTGGGCGCCGGTCTTCGCGGCGGCCGGGCATCGGCCCGCGAGGCAGGAGAGCGGCATGCGGCAAGCGGCGCACGAAGGGCAGGCTGTCGGAGAGGTGCCCCCGGGCCGAGCCCCTCCGCAGGCGAAGGGCTCAAGGAGACGCGATCAGTTATGTGACTGTCCTGGCCTGGGCGAGGGATTGGCGCAGCGTTCGTCGAAGTGCATCCTCACGGCGGCGCTGGCCGGGGCTGTGGCGCAATAACAGCAGCCAAGCGAGCGGGAAAGCCGCGAGCAAGGACGTGTGGACGTAATGACCCGTCAGAGAAGCACACCATCGATTAACAAATGCTTCCAGTGTGGGCCCCAGCCGTAAGGTCTTGCAAGTGGTGCGCTGCACCAGATATGATGCAATAAGAGTAGCGCAACGTACTGGTGTAATGCCCATCGGTAGGAAGAAGTAGGTAGAAACATAAAGTAGGGAGGCGTTGAAAATAGATTGAATTCCGTCCGCCCCCTTGGGAGGACGAGAAGGTGAAGCCACTCGATGATTGAAGTAGGAAGGCGCTTAAAATAGATTGGAACCTGGGACTCCAACAATACCTACTTTCAACGACCGATGGGTACTGGTGCAGTAGATGTGACGTCATCAAATGTATGTGATGCGGTGAATTCTCCGTGGTGCAATTCACCAGTCTGCACCGCGCGTAACCACAGCCAATGCTCTGCGTTCACTCCAATACTAGAGCAAACATCCCACCCGCCTACCAGCAACTTCTTAGCACAACTCGACTGGCGTAATGACGCGAGGACCCTTATCGTGCAGATCCTTGGTCGGGCGTGCAAGTAAGATGATGGTGGTGGCGCTGATGACGAGGGCGACGACGACAACGATGACGACGACGATGCTGATGATGATGATGATGATGATGCGGATGATGCTTATGATTGCTGGCAATCGTTGGTTATGATGATTGCGCATATATGTTAATGATGTTGATAAGATGATGTTCATGACGATGACGTTGATGATGACGATGAGGATGGTGATGATGATGGGTGTGATGATGATGGTTATGATGATGATGGTGGTGATGATGACGATAATGATGATAATGTTGGCTATGATGATGCTGCTGATGATGCTGCTGCTGATGACGATGATGATGACGATGATGATGATGATGTTGATGATGATGATGATGATGATGATGATGATGATGATGATGATGATGATGATGATGATGTGGAAGACGGCGGTGGGGATGATGATGACGTCCATGGGAATGGCGATGAAGATGGTGGTGATGATGACGGTGCTGGCGATGACGATGGTGGTGCTGATGAGGACGATGAGGCAGCGCTCGCACGCGTCGCAAAAACATAACTCATGGCAAACTTTGTCATTGGAACGCCGTTGGAGCCTGATCTGCATTTGAAAACGTCTGTCTTGACATGCTCATGAAACACCTGTAATTTTGCTTCGTCGTGCGCATTGTCTGGCTTGTCAGATCTGCCGGGTGCGCGATAACGATTTCTTGCCGCGCGAGAGCCGTGACCAGTGAACAGAAACAACTCGGTTTAGCCCCCATGGCCCAGATGGGCAGCAGGGCCTTCGCCCGCACGCACTCAGGTTGGACGACCTCCCCCTCCCCGCCTCCTGCTCCTCCTCCTCCCCCCCATCGGCTCCTCGCCACCGCCCTTTGTGGCGGCGCGAGGCGCACGGCCCTCCGTGAGCGCGCCCTGCTGGGCGCGCCCGCGGGGGAAATTCTCTGGCTCACTGCGCCAGCCACGCCGCCGCCGCGCCCAGCAGCGCCAGCAGCGCCGGCGCCGCCGCTCGCTCCGCGCCGCTCGCAGCGCACCGGAGGCGCTCCAGGACCAGCGGCACGGCGTCCTGCGCGATGACGGTCGCGGCCTCCTTGAGCGCCAGGTGCTCCACGAAAGCCATGTTCAGGACGGAGGCGGTGCGGTTGATCATGGTGCTCTGGACGAAGTCCGGCATGTGCGCGGTGATGCTCGGTGCGACCTTGCTGAGGCTGTCGAGAGACTGTCTCTGGAGCTCGATGCCCCTGCACGCCGGCTGCAGGTTGGCCTGGACCATCTTGCTGAGCAAGGCGCACGCCTCGCTCGTGCTCGCGTGAGCCAGGCGAGCCGTGTCCATCCGCATGAGGTGGTTCTTGAACTCGACGCTGCGCGTCACTCCCTGGAGGGCCACGGCCATGTCGTAGGTGAGCGTCTCATTGTTGCTCGCGTCCCAGTGCCGAAGCTTGCCCATGAGCACGTCGTCGAAGTTCTCGACGCCAGTGACCTCTGCCTTGGTCTCATTGAGAAGATGGGCGAGCCGCGCCAGGAATTGGTGGTCGTTGTAGTCCTGGTGGTGCGCCTTGAAGGTCTCCACGTTGTACCTGATCGCCTCTAGCATCTTGGCCGAGGCGGCGGCAGCCTTGGCGCGAGACTCGTCCAGGCGCCCCTCAATCCAAACGCCGCTCACGCTGTCGTTCCTCCAGCCAGAGAGTGTGTCGGTGATCTTGTTCAGCTCCTTCTTGGAGATGTCGAGGGCCTGCAGGATTTCATCCCTGAACAAGGTGCCGTTCATTGCCGCGGCGTGCCGCAGGGCATTGGCCTCCTGCCCGAGGCGGGCGCGCGACTCGTGCTCCAGGGCGTCTCGGCGGTGCAGCTCCAGCTTCTCCCGCGCCTTGGCGCTGTCCACCTGCTTGCGCGCCTGCACCAGCAGGCGGGTCGCCTGGCTCTCCTCGCGGGCGAAGTCCGCGTCCTGGCTGCGCTCGCGAAGCTCCTCGTTCTTGAAGACCGGGTCCTCGAACCACTGCCCGTCCGCGCCACGCAGCTCCTCGATCTTCCTGCCCCTCTCCCACTGCACCTCCTTGCTCTCCAGCTTCTCGCCGACCCTCTCGATATCCTCCACGGCGCGGTCCTCCGAGTCGCCCTCCTTCTCCATGGAGTCGACCACCTTCTCCAGCATCATCTCCTCTCGCTCCTCCCTCTTTGTCAGAGACTCGGCATGCCTGCTCATGGCTTCCATCTGGCGCTCCGTGACGTCCTTGTCGGCGTCCTCCCGTATGAGCCTCGCGGCCTCGTCCCTGGCCCTCGCCGCGGCCTGCTCGGCGATGGCCGCGTCCCTGCCGAACTGCCTCCCTGCCTCGCTGTCGGCCTTGATCGATCCGCCGTTGATGCGGCTCGTAATCGAACTGCTGGACTGGCTGAACTGCCTGATGTCCTCCGGGTCAATGTAGTCAGGGTCGTGGCGCTCGAAAGAGAGCGCGCCGCAGGTGGCGATGAAGACGAACGCCTGCATGAGTCGCGCCATCGCCCCTAGGTGTTGAATGGAAGTCACAAGAAATCAAAAAGGAAGGCAAAAGGATCCCGATCCAAGGGGGACGTCAAAAGAAGTCAAAGGAAGGCTTGCAGCCCACTTGGGCCAAAATGGCTACGGAGGGAGTGCGCGATAAATGTTGGATGTCTTCGGCATGCGCGCATGCCAGAACGGCAAACCGAACGGTTGCCGTTGGATGTCTTGGCATGCTTTCAGCGAGTGCGCGCGCATACAAACCTCGCAACTTCCATTGTACACAAGTGTTGTTCAGGAGATCTTGCTTCACAGCCATGCATAGCCAAGGTTTTGAATGGATTTAGGCGTCTGCGCGAAGATGTGGCCCGCATTGTATTACTTGAGCGGGACTCAGGCAAACCCAAATGTTGGTAAACGCGTGCGCGATGCATTGTATCATCTGACAGGGGGCGATGCCTGCCTGCCTGGCATTGGACCATTCAAAGGAGGGGGGCGGATAACCCCTGCACGGGGGGGGGAGAGAGTCCCATGGATTTCAAATCAAAGGATCTGGCCGCCATCGTGTGTCGTAGGCGCTGAGCGGAGTGTCCTCAAGCCGTTTCGAACTCTGTGGCTCGAATATTTCTTTTAGGTTCCCGGACCCCCGTGCTCCCGGCGCTCCCGGGCGCTCCCAGGAGTCCCCGCGTGACCTAGGCCACCAAGGCGGCTGAGAGAGCCCCCCAAGACGGCCTCCGAAGGCGTCGGACGGGCCAAGATCGCCCTGAGAGTACCCAAGAGGCCCCCAACAGGCCGCCGAGAGGCCCCCAGTGAGCCCCAAGGAAGCCCCCAACAAGCCACCGAGAGGCCACCAACAGGCCCCCAGCCCCAAGAGGCCACCTCCTCCTACTTCTCCTCTTTCTCCTCCTCCGCCTCCTCCTCCTTCTCCTCTTGCTCTCCCTCATCCCGTTTCCTTATGAATACTTCCCCCCTCTCGCACGCCAAGACGCGTCGGTATGGCAGGCAGGGTGTTTTGCCAGAGACTTCCCCACCTCTCATGACCCTGAAGCTTGAAAGCTGCAACCGCCTCAAGCATGGAGGGCGGGTGGTTTTCAAAGTGTAGCTCTCGCCTTAGCGCCGCGCACATTCGTCTTCAATGTTTACAGCAGGTTCAAGGATGGAGGGCTGCTGGTTTTCAAAATGCTCTCGCCTCAGCGCCGCGCGCGGTCGTCTTCAATTTTTGCAATACATTCAAAGATGGATGACGGTTCCTGTTCAAAATGTGGCTCTCGCCTCAGCGCCGCGCATATCCTTCTCAAAACTTTGCAAGAATTACAATGCTCGTATGGTTGGAATCGCAGAAATACACTATGGCGCGATTTAATGTTGTCAGGACGCACCAGTCAGATTGATTCGCGGCGTTGAAGTCCAAGGAATGGTGTTTTGGCGCGATTGAAGATGCAGAGACGTTTGCCTTCCAACGGGGTGCATCCCGCCATGGGAAGTCGGAAGGAGGGCTTCCTGCAACATCATTGATGCGCCTTGCGTTTACGCTGGTCCTCCTCCTCCTCCTGCTCCTCCTCCTGCTCCTGCTCCTCCTCCTTCCGACGGCTTCCGCCAGCGGAGCCTCGCCCGTTCTGCCTCCGCCGCCCCTCCGCCCTCGAAGGCGAGGCCCATTCTGGAACGCCTCCGGTAGTCCAACAGCCTGGCCAAGCTTCTCCTCGCTGCTCCTCGCTGCTTCTCCTCCTCCTCCTCCTCCTCCTCCTCCTCCTCCTCCTCCTCCTCCTCGCTCCTCCTCCCAACGCCAGGGCACATCAGCGATGGAAAGGCAGGAGAGACGGCGATAATTCGCCGCAGGCACTTCGCCTGGGCACCCGGGTCAGCCTCGGCACCCGACTCGGCCAATCTATTGAGCACGATGGACGCGATTACGCGTGACGATACGCGGGCAGCTTACGCGCAAATGTCGGCACAGTCGAATGAGTTGTTCTGCGTCACTCAAGTGTTCCTCGAAAGGTTTCCACCACAATGGCTTGGGGACCACGTAGTTTAACAGCATGGCCAGGCTTTGATTTAACGTCTGGCCACGTCGCTGATGGAAAGGCAGGCGGCGGCGACTTGCCGCAGGCATCCTCGACACAATTTGTTGGACACCCGGGTCCGCTTTGGCACCCGACTCTGCGAAGATATTGAGCGCAATAGGTAGGGGATGAGAGATGATGGGATGGAAGGAGTCATTCAATTGAAGGTGGATGCGGTCGAGAACGTTTGCCTAGCGTGTCGCAGCGGCGGCCCCGGCGACACGCTATCCTGCTCAAGCGGATAGCGTGTCGCTCCGCTCCGCTCCGCGCGAGGCTCTCAAAAGCTCGGGACGTTAACGCTGGGGGGGTCGAGACGTGGATAGCGTCTCGCAGCGAAGCGTGATGGGCCAGAACCGGCGGAGTGGCACGCTATCCAGAAGCTCCCGACCACACTCAAGCGAAGAAACACTCAGTCTTTCCACCGACGACGGAGAGATGGACCAGTTACTCGCCGATGGCCAAAGGCGAAAACTCTCTGCGGATAGGGTTCTGCCGCAGAACCAGGTCCTTCAGATGTCAGATGTGGCGCGAGCGCATCTGACCTGCCCTCCTCTCTCTCTCTCACTCTCTCTCTCCCTCTCTCCCCCCCCCTCTCCCTCTCCCGCGTCCCTTCCCGTCTCCCTCGCTCCTTCCCCTCCCCCCACCCCTTCCCACGGCCAAGGGCACCCCCCGTGCAGGAAGGGAGAGAGGGCACCCGGGGAGGCTGGGCCCACCGACCACGGCGCTCCTCACCGCGCCTCTGGGAGAGGAGGGGGGGCGGAGGGACGGGAGCGGGAGAGACAGGAGTGGGAGGAGAGGGCTGGGAGGGCAAGGGGGGGGAGGAGGAAGGGGAGGGGGAGGAGGGGCGGGAGACACAGGAGGAGAAGGAGGAGGGGCAAGGGGGAGGAGGGGGATGAGGGAGGAAGGGGGCGGGGGGGAGGGGCTAGAGACACAGGAGGAGGGGCAGGAGGAGGGGCCAGGGGGAAGAAGGGGAGAGCGATGGAGGGGAGGCGAGGGAGAAGGAGAAGAGGCGAGAGACACAGAAGGGGATGGCGGAGGGGCAATGGGGGAGGCGGGGAGGAGGGGAGGAGGGGCGAGAGACACAGAAGGAGGAGAGGGAGGAAGGGCACGGGGAAGGGATGGGAGGCGGAGATAGGGGAGGGGGGAGGGGCAAGCTAGGTGCGCTCGCATCATATCTGACATCCTACCCCTCCTCCCATCCCTTACCATGGCGCAGATCCCCTCTCTACTCGCACAGTCGGATGTCGAGCAGGGCAATGATCCCGAAAGTGGTACGCGATGCATTGTAGAGCACGGCATGGCATGGCGTAGAAGAGCACCGCAAAGCGTCAACCTAGCATTGCATTGCATGCCGTGGCATGGCACGGGAAATGACGCCAGCGCTGCAGCGGGAACACGAGTCGAAACGAGCGGAAGCGCGGAAATGAGGCCAGCGCTGCAGCGGTAGCACGATTCGGAACGAGCGGAAGCACGGAAATGAGGCCAGCGCTGCAGCGGGAGCACGATTCGGAACGAGCGGGGCCCGAAAATGAGGCCGGCGCCTCAGCGAGAGCAGCATTTTGAAAAAAAATGCAGGCGAACACCCAACTCCGGGGAAACCTGTAAAAAAACTACTTGGGGTGTCGAACACTTTCAAACCGTCATCAGGGGAAGAGGGAGAGTAGTATTCATATTGAGTAATTGTGAAGAGGGGCCACAAGAGGGGAAGGAGGAAGGGCAAGAGGGAGGCAGGGGAAGTGGAAGAAGGGTTTGGGAGAGGAGGGGCGCGAGACGCAGGAGGAGGGAGAGGCGGAGGGGCAGTGGGGGAGAACGGGGAGGGAGAGAAGGGGGAGGGAAGATAAGCGTGGGGATGGGAGAAGCAGGGAAAGCCCGATCGGAGACGAGGGTGCTCGAAGGCGGCGACCACGGCGCTACTGCGCCGGGAGATCCTCCGCGCTGCTGAGCTGCGTGCGCGGCTGCCCGCCCAGGCCTGGCGGCCTGGGGTAGAACACGGGCGGCGGCCCCGTCATGTCCACCTCTCGGTGGCAGCTCATGGGAGCCTCCAGTACCGTACGAACTTGTGGGGCCTCGCGAGTCGACGCTAATCGACGCTGGTCGACGCTCAATCGGCACTAGTGGACGCTAATCGACGCTAGCCGATGCTAAATCGGCGCCATCTCATGAACTCCCAGACGCTAATCGACGCTGGGCGACGCTAAAGACGGCATTCAGAGGGTACGATAGGCTCCCATGATTTGCCACCGAACCACCTCGCTGGCCTCCCTGGTGAAATTGTCGTTGGCTACCTTCAGCCCCGCTGCCACCAGCATCGCCACGAAGAGGTTGAAGACGGAGATCTGGAACTTCGCGGCCTCCTTGGCTTCCTTCTTCGCCTCGCGCACCTTCCTCCGCTCCTCCTTGGCCAGGAGGAACTTCTCCCTCTTGATTAGGGCAGGGGTTAGTCTGCCCTCGGTAAGGAGGCTGTATGCGTCCTGCACTTCCTGTGAGACGAAGCCAGCACGAGGGGGAAAACGGGTGAGGATAAACCGAGAATCTCTGAGAGCCAGCGGCTCTGGAGGATGTCTCGGGCGCCGCGGCGTCCTCAGAGCGTTCCGGAACGCTCTGGAACGGATTTATCCTTGTCCTGGCCCCGTCCGATCCTGGTACAAGTCCGCGTCCGGCGTGGGCGAGTCCGGGTGGGACATGGCCGCTACCTTCCGGTACGCCTTCCTGATCTCCTCCTCCCGGGCCGGACGAGGAGGGCGGCGGTCCCAGATCTCCGACGATGCGACTCCCCAATTGGGCTCTGCTTGGTGAGCGTTTTCGTATTCGGCGTTTCGACATTGGGCGGAAGGTGGGGGGGAGGGGGGGGTCCGGCTCGGGACCTCTGCTTAGTGCGACTGTTTGCACCGTGCGTCCCATGGCGGAGAGACTCCACCTGCTTGAGGGAGGCGCCAAAGAGCAGCCAAGATCTAATCCAGGGGGAGGGGAAGGCGAGGAGGGGTGCGAGAGCCCGTGCCAATGGATAAGAAAACGAACACATGCGGCTCCCCAACGGGGCTCTGCTGGAGGGGGTTCTGACCTGCTTGTGGAAGGGGGCCAGTGGGTGCGGAGCCCCTCGTCGGAGGCAGCACCTTGCGATTTGCCCGGGGTGCCTCGGCGTGGTCCGGGGTTCCTTGGGGCGTGCCAAGCAATGCCAAGCAACGCC